ATATGTAATGTATATTTTTATACATATATATATTATATTATATTATATATACATATATAGATAGATATATATATAGATATATATATATATATATATATAATTTATAAATATATGTATATTTATATATGTATGTATGTATGTATGTATGTTTGTATGTAGGTATGTATATATATACATATATATATATATATATTATGTTATATTTTGTTTATATATATCATATATATATATATACATATATTTTATATATAATTTATTATATACATACACACACACACACACACACACACACATATATATATATATATATTGTATATGTATATATGTATATGTATACATATTTATATGCGCGACGTTCAGTGGTATGAGTAGTTGTATGAATACGTGCTGATATGAGGGGTGTGAACGATACCAGATACTTGTTTACATCGACAAGGGTATATTTGTCGGGTCCATTGCAATCTGCGCAATTCTTTGTCGTTTCTGGTTGTGACCTGAACCATGCACGCCGTAGACGATGTCCCGGTTGATATATGTAGGGCATTTGTCCTTGTGTGCACCAGTAATCCCGCCTGTGGGCCGTCATGGAATATACAAGCGTACGATCAGCACAATACACATTCCACTTATTATGGCCCCAGGGATAATATCAAATTTCTCGGATAGTCAGTCAATCGCAGGCTCAGCACGCCATAGTGAGTTGCATCCAGAAATTTTGATATGTACTGGATTTTTTCTTTCAAGAAACAGTGCCTGATCTTATTTTCTTGGTCTCTTTGTTCCTTCTTCTCCTTTTACTTTTACATACATACGCTGCTCCATTCCCGTCGCCTTCTCTTTACATACTCATATTGCTTTATTTACATACTCATACCGCTTTACTTACATACTCGTATTCCTTTAGTTACACACTCTTATCCCTTTATTTACATACTCTTATTTACACACCCGTATCCCTCTGCCCTCGGTATATCAGATATCTACATCATGCAGATCTCGCACTCGCACAACGTTGCGGCCCAGGGCAGGTACATTGCCACCGTCTCCACCACCATTGAGACCAACAACCCACAACGCGAGTTGCAGGCAGGTCTGGCGCTTCTAGGCCAAATCGAGGAGACCTTTTTCCAGGTAGGTAGTCTATGCCAGCCGCTGACTGAGTATCAGAATCTTGTATCAAAGCCTGGGAGTCAATTATGGTATCCCCTGCACTCGGGCAGCGAGTGGATGTCAGGGTGCACTAGCGTTATGATGTGTTTGGCAAGCAGTGTATGGGGCATATGTATGTGGTTTCGACAGCGAATTGAGCTCGAACCAGGTATAACACTCGTCGGGGAAGAGGTGTATGTACTTTGCAACGACGGCTTCGACTTGTGTGCGCCTTCGGATTCATTGGCGAACTTAAAACGCTCCGCGCTTGTAGGCCTGCGCACCTCTCAGATTCATTTCATAATTATTCTGACCTGTCCATCCCTGCCTAAACAGGTTTCCGATCTATACGCGCCCTCGGATGACGGAGTTGAGAGCCAGTGCTTCGTCACGAAGTCGTACGATGCCACGTCGCACTTTGAGACCACTTGTCTCGATGTGTTGGATGTGTGGAAGCACATGACCGGAGAGGATCTCGATCTTAACAAACAGCTACAACAGAACATGGATGTGAACTAGGTAGCGAGTGTCGTTGCAGGGGTATTCGGACACAGTTGCACAGGGGGACGTCTAGCGGTGTGTGCACATCTGTGGTAGTATGCCTGCCGCTTCCCTCGTTCCATGTATAAGGAAGCCCAGCTCTTGTATTAATATTAGTCTTGTATTTCTCTCCCGGTCTTGGCGGCTGTAGCTTTAATTGCATAGAATATGTTTAGCGGCATGAACGAAGAATCTGGAAGGCTTTGGTATTGACTACAGGTCAAAATAAAAAAATAAATCCCTCTACTTTGACGAGCCACGTACAGGTGCTTCATTGGTCTATTCTCCTGTGTTGTCGCAGAGTAAATCGGCCGAAAGCATTGTGTGTAGTAGTAGTTGACCACACAGTCGATACAAGTCCATAAAGATATAACTGAAACGACAATGTGCTATTGGTGCTGGAGTGAGGTGCGAAAGATATTGGCCCCCTAAGTAGTCTTCCCGAGTAGCCTCAGTAATTTCGACACATGTGAAAGGTATGTTTATATAGTACGGGCCAGCACCTGTAATAGCGCGACTGAAGGTGTGCGCAATGGTTCAGTCTTCGCATCACACGTCTGGGCGAGGCACCAATGCATATCTCACAGGACACCCACAGCCGGTTAGGAAACCAATGGTGACAAGACGAAGAGGATCATATACATATAATACATAGAAAGACTCCCATGATATATGGTCCAATTTTGGCCCCGAGGAGTGGGCATCGCTGTCGAGTCGTACGGAAGTATCTAGGTTTAACAGTGTATATTTATCACGTCTGATGTTGTGTGCAGAGTTGGTTAGAAAGATCCGCACCTCGCAATGCACCTGCGATCTACCTCGCAGTAAAAATCGCAGCCAATTCACTTCTATATTCATCCTCGTTGCCGTATGTGCCACTACCATGGGTGTTTATTTACGTGAATCAAATGGGTATAGAGGTCACCCCTTTTTGACCTGAGCTGCCGAACCTAAACACCAACAACGGGGAGAGTATTGGGTGCACGTTTACCCATATCTAATGTTTTTCGTCACGGCTTATATCCCGAGCGAGAGGGTTCTAAATGCGAATATGTAAAGCCTATATGGGGCAGCTCGTGGTCGCAGTTACCTGCAGCGCTTGCCGCATTTCATGACCAGTCCCACCTATCTAAACCGAGAGAGAGAGACGCACTACGAAAGGCGTGGAGTGAAGCCTGTTCTATCAGCCTGGGTGGTTGGGTTGGTTGGTTGGCTGTTTCAGCATACTTGGGTGCCAGCTTCAGTATGTGCTTGATCTCTATGCTATCAGATGGGCCCCACACCAGAGCGCACCCAGGAGGCCCCCCACCTACCCAGTCTCCCTCGCCCTGCTTGCGCATACAAAGTCCTGTTGGAAGGAGACAGGCTCATACGTAGTATGCGAGATATGTGTACGAAGCCAGATCTCTCGTTGCGGGCAACCGGCTCGTGCCTGGTATCATTTAATTTTCGGTGTCTTGGCCAGATGGCGTCATGACCACCGCTTAAGCTTCGCAGAATCAGTCGCTTCCTCTTGACACACCCAAGAACTCCAGAAATTGAACAGCCACACAGATTCGCCGATGAATATCAGCGCCGCGGCCCACACGCCATACATGGCCAGGTGATTGTATCTGGACGGTAGCCAGCATTCGTGCATGGACACCTGGTGCGTGATGGGGTCTACCAGTATGGACAAGAAACCTGAAGCCGTGGAAGTGGGGACCAGTGTGGGTTTAGACATATAGAAATGGGGGCCAACTACGCTCCATGAGCTCGTGCTTTGAATAGTAGAATACGTTAACGCGGAGGCGCACGGGCGTGGAGGGGGGTTGGTAGGGTGTGTGTGTGGGGGGTGAATAGGCAGAAAAGTATATACTGCAGATAGATAGATGCGCCGCAATTATGTGTCTTCATCACATACACCTAGCGGGTAGCAGTTGATCAAGACATACCTATCTTAGACACGCCCATGCGATAGCTGAATGTAGGCGCGGTCCACTCCAACAGGTCTGACCCGCTGTGCCCTCGAGACACTTGCTGCCCACTGATGTGGGTATGTCCGGAGAGTATCAGGTTGGGCTGTATATTCTCCACCAGCCACCGTTGCTTATCCTTCGGGAGCTATGAACATAAAACGTTGAGGTTTCTCAGGGATCCACTTATACTGGACTCGGGGTGCAGACACATGGGACATAGGAATACGTGTTACAGACGACAAATGTAAAAACATAAACAATTGGGTATTGACATTGACATAGATGACTAAATACTGAATGACTCGCCGCAGAGTATCCAATGACGATGTCTTCGTAGTCAAGTGGACCCGATTGAAATTTCCATCACAGACTAACCATAAAAATGAAGCCACAGGAAGTTGAGATCAGAAGACATGAAGCGATAATTATGTGCGGTATATCAGAATTCAGACACTCAGTTGAATAAGACGAAAAAGTGACTAGCCCTTGTCAGTAGACCGTGTAATATCTCATTTGGTCAAATTCACTCTGCAAGCACGAAAATGCAATTGTAAACGATGACACACCGCGGCAATACCATTCAGAGTTCACATATACTCTACGAAGGATATACAGGCGCACCAGATGACACAACACAACGCAGATATCCGATCACACCTCCACGCACATACCCCGCCATACCGTAAACATACATAATCTAAGAACACGCTTGACATAATTTAAGGCACACGCTTGCACATTGGCATGGATGACGCCCCATTCATCGGTAATACCATGGTAGTAGGCGCGTGCGATAGTAGCACGGAGAAGGTCTCCACCGGCGTGTAGTCATGAACGAACTGCGTGGTGGACTTAATAGACTCCACTGTCTTTTGTTGCGCTGTCAGTGCCAAGATATTGATGCTGACAAACTCTATGCCTGTGATACAGGTTAAGGGGAGTGGAAGACATCAGTGAGGCCAGCCTCATCGTCAAACACACAAGCTTGAAAGTGTGCCATACTACCTCCCAATAAGGCTTCGAATACTTCAGGAACACCAACGAACTCGAAACATGCCGTACCTTTCAATGATGATTTCTGGTTGACTGCACCCTGCCAGTCTTCAAAGCGGTGTACTTGTTTGTAGTCTTGCGTGTCACGGCCCTCTCCGCCGATGTCGTTGTCACCCGGCTTTGCATATTGATGGACATCCACAAAACAGTAGATTCATCGTATTATAGATATATGTACAAGTGTTTTCATATATATATATATAAATACAATTGCAACCCACCCACGCATGTGGCATCTGCCTAGATGTTCATAGTTGCGCATGTCTTACACCCCAAGAGTGCTGCCGTCATTTGTTTATAATTGCTGAAGATGTGTCAGCGATACAAATCCACTTTGAACTAAACCGGGGCGATGGAGTAGATCAAAGCACTGGACGAGCTCACACATACCCTCATATAAAACACGTTTGAGTCCACAATAATCATCCTATAAAATGTAACTTAAAATAGGCGCATGGTAGCATACTATACAGAAATGACTTGCCGTCATGTCTATATCCACTCCACACACTGAATCATGCATAATCTCTGTCCAATATGCACCTACCTACCACAATGATCCGAGAGACCATATCGGGACTGAAGATACTATTGAAACGGTCCAAGTACTCAACATACGATTCATCATCAGCCTGGTACCCCTCATCAAGGACGTCTCCTAAGATGACCTGAAAGTGATGGGGAACGAAAGTCCTATACTTCGGTATCAACGCCAACCATAGTAGCACGAATGTTGATCTTGCCACACATGCATATGCGTGAACCCGTTCGCCATTCTGGGTTAGTGGAAGCTAATTCTTCTGTGACAATGAGGATATATTGCTTTCGTAGCGAACAAGCATCTAGCGCCACAAGATGAACTACTAACTCGGGAACATACCACTACATCGGGCGACATGTACTGTACCAGGCAACCGTAGGCACTACGCAGGTAATGGTCGGCATCCTGAATAGATAACAGGACAAAATGAATGTAAGATAAGCTTCACTGAGTGTGGCGGATCATATATGCGAATATACACAGACCGTATTTCGTACAATAGAAGTTGTGACTAATGTATCTAGGCGGCCAGGGCAGGGCAGCTGACGTGAGTGAGAGACACTATGCAATGCAATATTGTATAAGTAGGGCTACATAGTGCAACAGTGCGTATAGACGCCGCCGACGGTCTCAACAAGTCGCACTAGGTGTCCCGGTACGATACAGAAGGGACCGCAACCAGATTTTGGGCCAATAAGGGTTGTTTGTAACGCGGCAAAAGAGCCTATGTACTTTAAATGATCAGGATTTGTCACGGTATAGTGTTGGTGTGGCCAATAAACTGGCTGTGACAATCGATGAATAGCCCTCAGATCGACCGCATAAATAGTCTTGGCAGCTACGTGCGATTTCACTGGCAGGGCGAATCATAGCGCTTCGTATCTACGACACTCGCAGTCTACATATGTGCCTGTACGGTATGACCAGACGACGTGCATACAGCCCTATTTGGCGTCATCACACAAAGATATACCGGTTTTACATATGGCATTAAAGACCTGTTGCACGCAACCATACAGCAGATAACATCGCAGTAGTATTCCAACAGCCGATTGATGGAACACATGCTCTGTCTAATTGTGAGAAAATAAATATTTCCTATGCTACATGCTCAACACCAATACGTAGGTCAAAACGACTATTCATCTATGCAGTAGATACGGGTGGAAAGATGTCTTAAACCATACGCAGGTATATTAGCAAGCTGCATGCCCGGGACAAGCATGGGCAATGTGCCCACGAGTTAGAAACTTACATAGCGAGTAATAGAGCCGATCACTCCAGACGGCTCGTCCTGATAGCCCTGCAACTGCGGATCTGCGATGGCTGCGATACGAACGCATGTGCCCTTCGCCTGACACGGCAGGGGATCTATAGAGAGTGTACAACAGTATCGTACATAGTTGACAATTAGGTCACAAACAAAGCACACCTTGCTTGGTTATAGCGAGTACACACACACACACACACGCATATATATATATATATACATATATACATATATAC